AACCCCTGGGAAAACACGTCTGTCTTGTCAGAGACTTTACACCTCAGGCGATGCCGGGGGCCAGGCCCCTCTGTTCCTACTGTGTCTGCTGCTGGGTGGGGCAGGGGGCACAGCGACACCCTTACCCGTCCCCGTGCAGGGAGTCCACGCTGACTGCATCTCCCCTCTGCCCCCCAGTTAGGGTCTGGGGTGAATGGAGCTGCCAGAAGAACAGAGGGGACCCGGCTCCATTGGGGCTGAGGAGCCCTTGGGGAACAGGAGGTGTAGGGGGCATGGATGGGAGATCTCAGGGAGATGGGATGGGAACCAGGGCAAGGCAAATGGCCTGGGGTCAGGGATGCTGTTGTGGGGCAGAGCAGGGCATTAGGAAATGGAGTGGAGAGGTGATGGGGTCGGGGGGCTGGGGGGCAGGGCAGTGGGGCTGAGGGCTGGAGGTTCAGTGGGGTTGATGGCTGGGATAAGGGCAGGGTAATGGGGCGTGAGGGCTGGAGGATCAGTGGGGCTGGGGGTGGGATGGCAGCAGGGTAATGGGGCTGAGGGCTGGAGGCTCAGTGGGGCTGGGGGTGGGATGGGGTCAGGGCAATGGACCTGGGGGCTGGAGGATCAGTGGGACTGGTGGCAGGGTAATGGGGCTGAGGGCTGGAGGCTCAGTGGGGCTGGAGGCTGGGATAGGGGCAGGGCAATGCGGCGGGGGGCTGGGATGGTGGCAGGGTAGTGGTGCTGGGGGATCAGTGGGGCCGGGGGCAGGGCAGTGGGGCTGAGGGTTGGAGGCAGTGGCGGATTAGCCACTGGGCCAACGGGGAAATGGACCAACTGGGGGGCCCAGGAAAGATGGGCGCCCCCTGCACCCCAACCTCATTTCCCCGCTTGGAGCGCCGGGCCGGAGGGCAGGCGAATGGGGGCCCCACCGAAGGGTAAAACCTGCCTCTGGCCGGGGGGGAAGGCTGGGGGGGGCACAGCCAGCAGCAGTAACGCGATCCGTCCATAGCCAGCCCAGCCCTCGGTGCGTAGACAGGGCTCGGGCCCGGAGGCTCCAGGAATCGTGTGCAGGGCAGGGGGACCCGGCAGTGGGGAATGAGGGCACGGGCTGGGGGGGGATCCTGGCCTGGGGGGGAGGGGCACAGGATGGAGGAGTCCTGGCCTGTGGTCTTGGGCTGGCCCAGTGGGATCCCTGTGTCTGGGCCCTGGAGGGGGCGGGGGATGCGGCATATTCCATGGATCCCCATTGCACCCAGACTCCTCTCCAGCAGCAGCCTGGGGGCTGGGCAGCCAGTGAGTCATAGGGTCCTGCTCCCCACCCCCATGGATCCCTGCTGAGCCAATCTCATTGTCCCCAGCCCCCCACGTCCCTGCCCCCAAGGGAACTGCAATCCCAGCCTGCCCCACCCCCATGGCACCCTGACTGGCTGCTCCCTGTCCTGTCCTGAGGTGACTGGCCTCAGCTGGGATATTCAGGGGGGAGGGTGGCGATGGAAGCTGATTTATTGGGTGGTGGCAGGAAAGTTAATTTACGGCTTCTGCTCCAAGGGGATTGGGGTGGCTTGTCCCCACCACAGATCCATGTCCTCAGTGACTGGGGTAGCACAGCTGCTGAGGGTCTCGTCTCAGCACCTGCCCCTCCAGAGCTAGGGATAGAACCCAGGCGTCCTGACTCCCACCCCCAATGACTAGAGCCCACTCCCCTCCCAGCGCTGGGGATAGAACCCAGGCGTCCTGACACCCACCACCAATCCCCTGCCCCCCCGTGCAGCCCTGTCCAGCTCTGGCAGCACTTTGCTGGGAATGGGAGGGCAGATTCTGGTCTCAATCACACCAGTTGAATCCAGAGTCAAGTCTGAGTCTGCTGATCACACGGAAACCGGGGAGCTGTTCTGAGTGACTAATGCAGCGATGCTGCCAGAGTCTGCAGAGAGCCTGAGCCCCCAGATTTCCCCTCCTCTCACCCCCCCCCCCAGGCCGGGCCGAGACGTGTAACTCGAGCAGCAGCTGCTGCCTGTCCCGGCTCCAGTTACCCACACAACCTTTGCTGTTTGGCCATGTCAGCGCCCACAGGGGAACAGGCTGGGGGGGGGAGGGTAAGAAGGGATGGGGGGAATCGTGCTGTGGGGTGGTCAGAGTGGGGCCTGTGACCCCCAGCTCTGCAGGGGTCCCCACAGCTGTTTCTCTTTCTCGCTCATGCACACACACACACACCATCAAACTCCAGGCCCTCTTGGTGCCGGGGGTCTCTGAAGCAGACGGGTTGCCCCCACTCCAGCTGCTGCAGCTGGGACCACAGGCCCATGGACCAGGTGCTGGAGAGAATGACAGACAGCTGAACAGGGCAGGGGGAAGCACTGAGTAAAAGGAAACTGAGGCACAGAGCTGTGAAGGGGCTGATCACACAGAGACCTGGGGCACAGCAGGGAATAGAACCCAGGCTCCTTTCTCCCCGTGCCCCACTCCCCTTCCAGAACTGGTGGGAGAACCCAGGAGTCCTGGCTGCTGAGGTGCACCTATGGCTGACTTTGAACCAGGGTGACTGGTTTAAAGGAGCCAGTCTCCCCGCCTCCCTGAAATGGGGTCAGGCGGGAGGAATGGACAGTTCTCAGATTGTACTCTCATCCCTTACGCTGGGAGCTGCAGCTGACCTGGTCTGCTCCCTGCCCCCCCCCCCCTCGTCGTGTGTGTGTGTGTGTGTGATATGAGGCTGCTCCAGGCCTCAGGGACAGGGAATCCAGCAAGGGGGGAGGGGAGAGGGGGAAGGACAAGAGGGGATTCCCTGACCCTGAGAGGGAATGGCACTTGGAGGAGCAGTCCATGGAGCACAACGAGGGTCCAACACGTGAGGGCGTCAGGGTCCTGCATGTGATTGCGCTGGATGGAGAGCTGGGGCTGAGGTGGGGCAGGGGGGCCGGGGCCAGAGTACTTTGAGATTGGGGATGGAGGAGCTGGGTGTGCTGTAGTGGGTGCATAGGGGGAACTGGGTGAATGGGGGGCTGGGTGAATCATAGGATCATAGAATA